ATAGTTCCTTTTGGTTTGCGTGGCATATGTGTCCTCTTCCTAAGAGTTTACTGTGGCTTGGAGGGCCGCCTGGAGCAATAGCCACACTAAACACCCTGTACCAACCCTGCTTTATTAGGGCAGGGGGCAGCGACGGAGGGGTGGCCTCTACAGGAGAGCAGAGTATCCAAGAGGCCCTTTCTCCAACCTTGCCTGCAGTAGGCGCAGCGAGCAGCGTCCCGAAGGGGCCTTCCCAGGGCGGCTGAGTTCCACTGGGCTTCTTGACACAGACCTTATCACCAAGGTAAAAATCGGTCCATAAGAAGCGCCAAGGTCCAGCCTGCCTGGACATTCCTGCCTTGTGAAGGGTTTGCAGTCTGTTTGGTAGTTCCCATATGTAAGAAGCAATGCAGGGATGTAGAAACTGGAGACAAAGTCTTGCTTCAATGGGGGGAGAGAACGAACCAAAACGCATTCCAGAAGGAGAGATGCGTCACCCCCGCGTTGGTCTGCTGCACTGATGAAGCAAAGCTGGAAGGACACCTGGCCTCTCCCAGTGGCCTTCGGAGCACAATCTGCCAATCACAGTTCTGAGCTCCTTATTCACACGTTCGACCTGACCAAAGCTCCGCAGGTCGGGGGGAGGGGGACTGGAACTGAGGGGAATAGATGGGAAAGAACAGAATCAGTAAAATGAGACCCCTGGCTCAATTGATGCCTACCGCTGGACTGTAGTGGGGCAGTCTCCTTGAGCAGTGGTTCTGGAATTAGGAAATGCTTCTGCCCACCGAGTGAGTGCATCTACAATAACAAAGCAAGCTTTCTAATGGCCTGACTTTGGCATGCACGTGAAGTCAATGTGCAGACGTTCAAAGGGTGACCACCAAAGGCCGTGGTCATGTGCTCGACAAGTGAGAAAGGCAGACGTGATTCGAGATCCAACTATGGGAACGCCCGGGGCCACGTGCCCACCATACCATATCAGCTGTTCCTGGAGTCCCAAATGGCGCCCCCTACGAACAGAAGGACATACCTGGCGATAGCAGCTCTGGGACAGGAGCAGTTTGCGTTCTGCCCGTTCTGCCTTAAATTACTGTTTCCATTTCTTGACCTCTGGGTTGCTGTAGCTGAGACTGAAATTGTCTTCAGCAGGAAGGGAGAGATGAAAAATACACCGAGGCCCCTCCGCAGCAGCGAGCTCGGCAACAGCATCTGCTCAGCAATCCCTCACGAGACAGGATCAGTCCCATCAGCGTGAGCCGGACAGTGGACAACGGCCAATGCAGCCAGTAATCTGGTGGCAGCTCCAAGTTCCCTGATGAAGTCTGCATGCGCGATGACTTTGCCAGCAGAGGTCAGATCACATCCAACCACATGACAGGCACCAAATGCATACCATGAGTCGGTGTAGATGGCCACACTGTGGCCATCAGCATAACAACACACTTCTGAGAGTGCAACGAGCTTAGCTGCCTGGACACGGAGAGGAGAAGGCCAAGAGGCTGCCCAGATGGTGTCAGGGTTGGAGACCACAGCAGTACCCAAGCACCAGATGCCATCCCTCGTGAAAGAGGGCCCACCGGTATTCAGCACACAATCAGGATTCTGCAAAGGGGTACCAGCGAAGTCACAGCAGGGTTTTTCAGCCACATCCACTACTAAGGCACAGTTGTGCAGTGGCCACCCAGAGAGTGCAGATCAGGGAGCCACGCGGCCAGGTTGAGGGTGGCATTGCTTAAGAGTAATATTCTCTTTCCCCTAGCAAAGTCACTTCCTGCCTGGGAAGTCTCTGATCAGAAAAGGCTAGCATTCCATGGCACAGTAAGAGAGCCTGAACCTCTTGGGGCCACTAGACCATTCGAGGGGAGCCCCAAACCAATCATAAGCCTTTTCTACTAAACAGGCCAGAGCCCAGAGGCAGCCACAGTAGCGAGCTGAGCAGAATAATGTGCTCCTTGGGGAGGAGAGCATCAAACAAACGTTTGATGCAGGATGCTGGAGGCCACGCCCACACGCTCATGAACAAAGAGAGAGGAGGGCTCGCGGGCATCTGGGGGTCCCCAGGCAGGGCCGACAGCGGGCCTTCCTTGAGTTCATCCAGGGCAGTACGGTGCTGAGGCTCAAGGTGTGAAGGCTCTCCAGTGTGGGGAGAGGCAAAGACTGGGGCACAGGGTGCAAGGACATTGGGATGAGGGAAAACAAAAGGATCTTCCTCAGAACCGAGGGTGCCTGGCCCCCCGCCCCACACGCTCACCTTTATGCTGGAGGTGTCTTCTGGCTTCCCTGGGTTTTTCTTGTTTGCATTCCTGCACTGACTGACAAAATGACCCTTTTGGCAACAGCGAAAACTTTCCCATATTCTCTGGTTTCCCAGCAGAGCACAAAAAGGAGTTGGAGCAATCTGCGCTACAGCCAAGACTGTCCAAGCTTTTTGCTAGGGTTTTCCTTTCTCTTTTTCTTTGCCTTTCCCTTCATACACATAGAGGGGGATGCCTTTAAGCTTGCCTATGCCCTTCTCAAGCCAGGTGGAACACAGGACAAGGTCCACATGAATAACCGAAGCAGCTTTGGGCTAATCCGATCTAGCCCTGCAGACCACTTGGTGCTCTGGCACAGTCAATCATAAAAGTGGTTAGGGGTTTCCTTTTCTTCCTGAATGATTTCCTGAATTTGCTCCAGTTATCAGGATGGATGGCACATGCCTCCATTCCCTGGATTAAGGATTCTCTACCTTCTAACAGTTTGGTGGAATGGCTGGATTATTAGGGTTCCAATGGGGGCCTTAAAAAGGTGAATCATGAAGACCTCCTGAGCTGGCAGGAGCAGTGCCAACCGGGACTGGTCTATGAGTCACCTCTCTGACGGCAGTTCTTTTTCTTGGGAAGAGCAAGGTTTCCACTGAATCGGTTACATCTCCCCAGATTGGGTTGTGCCCTCTAAATATGGCTTAAATGGAGTTATGACTGCCACAGGATCCTCATCCAGTGTCGGAGGATCTCTCCTCCGGGTGGAGAGGTCAAAGAGACGGGAAGGTTGATACAGCCTCAGAGCACCATATTTCCAAGCTGGGTGATATCATGTACAAATCTTTCCTGAAGGGGAAAGACACAGGTAGCCAGTCACTCTTGCTCAAAAGAAATTAAGCTCCTTACTATAGTAGAAAGAGTGTAAGATGGAGGAGCAGAAGGAGAAGACAGCAGGATAGAAAGGGACCTTTAGGAGGTTGAGGGCATAGCCCACTGGACAGAACCAGCCAGTAAAAGCCTACATTTGCTTTGGGTGATTTTATTTGCTAGACAATCTCAACTTCATCAAAGTACAGTAAGCAAAACTACCAAATTTAGGCCAAAATAATTTATCAGCTGAATCTCTTGCAGTCTTAGACCAAATCTCACATAATTTGATGGCATGCTCTTTGGTCATGCCCTGTTGAACCAGGAGTTTCCCTGGTTCCAAGATATAAAGAACTCTTCCAGGGAGGTATCCTTTGGAATATTACTACCACACCCAACCGCTTCCTGGGGCATCCCCCGAAGGAGTTTCTCCCCAGCAAAATAATTTCCCCACAAAGAGCACCCAAGAGAATTTTCTCAAAACTACTGCCAAGGAAATTATGTACGTAATTACTGGCAGTCTTCCTCCCTAACTCCCACTGAAGTTTGGTGAGAGTTAAGTCCCTGCTAGCTGGGGGAGTTGCATTGAAACTCTTCCCTTCCAGACTCTTTGCCTAAGTGAAATAATAATGGAATCTTTCCCTTACCAAAAAAAAAACAAAAAACTGTCAAGGGAATATTGTGATATTAATCTTAGACTAGAGTGTAGCCTTTAGAATTTAAAAAAAGAAGTCACTTGATATTACAAATTTTACTTCAACATCTCTATTATCTGAGCTTTGCTTCATTTTCAAAAGTCAGTGTGCACAACTTCAATTTAAAGAATCATAAATCAGTTTCAAGGCCTCATTGTCAAATATGTCCTACATATTTGTAAGAGGGAATCTCTTATCTGCTGGAGAGATAATTCTTCTCCTCCTTCTAGCAGTAAAGACAGCTCTATCTGGAAGATGGATTCTCTTGCCCAAAGGAAAAATTACTCAACATATGATAATTATCCCCCTTCATGATGGTAAGTTTCTCCCATTTAAGGCTTAGCTTGGCTTGGATGAATTTGGATTGAAGCTAAGGTAAAGTATGACCTCTGGGGTGGTTCTCCCCAGAAAAACCCCTTGGTGAAAATTCTTTACCAGAGCACTCTAGGAAGTTCCTCAGAGAGGGTTGCCACAAGGCCAGAATCCAATCACTCAACCTCCTGGCTGGCTCGCCAACTGTCACAGTAGAACTCTGTGGTACTGAGAAACTGAAGCAACAAAGTTCCAAGCACAAGCAATTTATTAGCAAAGCTAGCAACTGCCAACAAATGGGGTCTAGGATTCCTCAGTAGCCGAGAACACTGTGGAGTTTTCAAAGAGCTTTATTCTTATAATCAATAAAGAGGAACTGAAGTGAATTACAAAATCTCGAGTAATGGGCATTTAATGATTTCTGAATGTTCAGCGCAGAGGATACTAACCACAAGTAGTACCTTACCATAAAGTAAGGCTAACACACCCCAGGGTATCTTAAAAAAGGACAAGAAGAGGGAAATTACAGTTCTGGAAATGAGGAACTAACTAGAATCCCTAAGCAGTAAACACTCCTCTGATTGGCTGAGCATTACACAAGCTTATTGATTAGTAAGTTATTGACTATACTCCTATCTTAGCTTACCATCACATGAAAAAACTCCAATTTTCCTCAAGTCAAAATGAAGAATTAACTCACACAAAAAGGGGAACTTAAACTCACAAAGAAGGAAGTCTTAGAGAGCAGTGGCTTAGGCTCACAAGAATGAGGAAGTTATACTCTAACAACTTACTAACAAAGCAAGTTTGATTAAGTTTAATAAAGCATAGCAAGCCTTAGCAAAAAGAAAACCAGTCTGATACTACTGATTAAGCGTAATTCCAGATCTGCATTTCTCACCTGTCTGGAAGCAGCTCCACGGATCAGGGGCTTCCGTGCCTTCTGGCTCTGCCTCACTCTCCAAGCCACCAGAGTCTGAAAGCACACAGGATAAATGGACTGAGTTTAAGACCAAAGGCCAAGATAAGAGGAAAGGACACAGGAAAAGCAGCAATCAATTACTATGGAAATCTCCCAAAAGGATGAAAGACAAAATCCAAATATCCCGGCCAGTTGGAATGAGACTGAACGCACTGATCCAAAGACCACTGGGTGGGGTGGAGGGAGAGAGGGAGAAAGGGGGTGGTGCAGAGAAAGGAAGGGCTGTGGGGGAGCACAGAGCGGGGAGCCAAAGGGAGTGCCGAGTGGGGAAAGTGAGGGGAGTGCAGGGAGAGCACAAGCTGTGGGGGCAGAGAGAGCAAGAGCTGGGGGGGGGCAGAGCTGGGAGGAGTACATGGGGAGACCTGAGGGGACAGACAGAGGGGCAGAGCTGGGAGGAGTACATGGGGAGAGCTGGGGGGCAGAGCTGGCGGGGCAGAGCTGGGAGGAGTACATGGGGAGAGCTGGGGGGGGGTCAGGGAAACAAGAGTGGGGGGACAGACAGAGGGGCAGAATTTAGAGGCCAGGACAAAGACGGGAGAGCCAGCAGGGCACAGAAAGTAGCAGAACTAACTCACAATTTCCCTTCAGATAAATACTTAGCCAACCAAGTATGTTTCTATGTTGGTACTTGTTCCCCATTTTCCGTAACTATAGGCATAACTACAAAAGAGCTAAACAGAATACAGGGAAGAGAAAGGCCTGACATTTCTAAATTGGCCTAATTTCAGCAGTCCAAGCTTCCATGACTCTTCACAGAACACTGAACAGAGAGACTCTGCAGCCAAGAGGTGCCTACGTTAAGGTCCTCTATAAGCATCAGGTATCTGTCCATCGGCATGAGGTGGAAAATGATACCCATTGAACAGAGAAGTAAAGTGAGTTACAGGCATATTAAACACTTAACAAAAATAACTTGACCAAGTTCATCAGTTCAGTGGCAAAGCTCTAACTAGACAGCTGGAATCCTCCTTTCTCTTCACACAAATCCACAACATACACTCCCTCGTTTGATGTCAAGAGCAGTCCAATGAACTTTAATCAAAGGTCAGCCTGGGCTGCCTGCTCCAGTGGGAGAATGATGAGCTAAAGGCCCAGCTATTTCCCCAAAATCAATCCGGCCTGAGACCCCTGAGCACCAGAGTCACCTCTAAGTGCAGAGGGAACCAATGGTCACTAAGCCAAGAAAGGCTCCACCTGCCTCCTCTCCCCTCTCCACCTTGGCTCAGGGTGCCCAGTGCCCAGGGGCCAAGCATGAACTCCAACAATGACCACTTGCCTAACTGGATTTCACAGCTGTTACCCAAAAGCCAACATTTTAAACGCTCAAACAGCCCAGCAGAGATGTGGCCAGACTCTGCAGGGCTTTTCTCTTGGCTTCCCACTCTCTGACAGTCATGAAGCCAACACCATCCACCCAGCCTAGCACAGGATAGCAACCTGGACGGCACCGAGCACGGAACCACAGCCTACGAGGCCACACAAGCCCCGGTGGCCATGGTATTTCCCTGCAGTTGCAACTAGGATGGGGAGGGGAGGGAGGACGTAGGTAGAGAACACCTCCTACGGGCCAGGCGCTGTGTGACTGAGTGCTTTACAGATATTGTCTCATCTGAGATAACGAGGGGGAATTGGGGTATGGAGGGGAGAAGGGCTTTTCATGGGACCTCTGAAAATGAAATGAATCCTGTTCAAGGGGAAGAGACATGGAAACTGTCCCATTCTCCAGGCTGTGGCCAGAGCCACTCCAACAGCATTTATAAAGAAGGGCAGGCACAGCGTGGCTAGAACACACCAGGCGAGAGGGAGAAGAGGAAACACCCATGTCCATCAGCGTCTTCACTCATCAGTCCCACTCCGAGGCTGGGAATCCCACATTAACCCCTGGAGTTCTCATGTAGAAAACGTTCAGTTAGCTTCCCCCATTCCTAACGTCCTAGGCCACCCCGGCTCACCATCCTTTCAGGGGTGCACCTGTAGTCTTTTTTTAAATCATATTTTATTTCTTTCCCAATTATATGTAAAAACAATTTTTAACATTTGATTTTTTTTTTAAGTTTTGAGTTCCAAATTCTATCCCTCTCTCCCTCTCTTCTTCCCTCCCGGAGAAGGTGAGCAATCGGATATGAGTTATACGTAGGCAATCACGCAGAACACTTCCACGTTAGTCATTTTGGACAAGAAGACTAGAGCAAAAAAGAAAGGAAGTGAAAACCAGCATGCTACAGTCTCTATTCAGACAACATCAGTTCTTTCTCTGGAGGCGGACAGCATTTTTCCTCATGAGCCCTTTGGGATTGTCTTGGATCACTGTATTGCTGAGAAGAGCTAAGTCAGGCACAATTCTTCATCATACAATATCACCGTGTACACCGCCTACAATGTTCTCCTGGTTCTGCCCACTTCGCTTTGTATCAGTTCACGGAAGTCTTCCCAGGACTTTCTGAAATCACCCTGCTTGTCATGTCTTATAGCACAATAATATTCTATTACAATCATATACCACCACTTGTTCAACCATTCCCCAATTGATGGGCATCCCCTAGAATTCCAGTTCTTAACCCCCACAAAAAGGCTACTACAAATATTTTGTGCACCCGTAACCTTTAAAAATCACCACCCCTTGCCTCTCATTCCAGCATTCAGAGGACACTAATGGCAAAGAAACCTGTCACCGACTTGTAGGTTACCTATGCATGAACTCAGGCACTTTAAAGTGCTCAGGAATACTAGACATTCCACCAATCCTTTGTGTCTAATAAATGTGCCCACCAACTGGCAGAAGCTGTCGACGCAAGGAGACCACCAGCCACTCCACAACAAAGCATCTTAGGAAGTGCTTCCACTACCAGTAGTAGGGTGGGCAAGAGGGTGCCCCCTCCTTGGCAGTGGTGTCTTCTGGTGCCAAGGGTGGTGTGGAAGGGAAAATCCCACTTGATCAAATGAGTAAGAGCATTCCAGTGGCCACAACAAAATAAAAACTAGTGCCCTGATCGCTCTGGTGTCTTTAGCATCTTTAAGTCAAAATGCCAGAAGGATGATGCCCCTCCGTGCCTGGTGGGAGACTGGGACTTAAGAAAAAAATAATAATAATTTTACAAGGTTTGTCAAAAACCAAGGAGAGAGAAAACATTTCAAACCTCTCCAGGAAGACCCCTCTTCTGCCTGTCTCCCCACAGGGGCCAGGTGGACCTGCCTTCTACACTGGGAAGAGCTCCGAATTCAGAAGCAGGACCGCAAAGGAGGGAGCAAAAATGGATCTATCTCAAGTATAACAGGAACAAAAGGAGAGAATCCTAAGGGTAAACCAAGCCAGAAGATGAGGCGACATCAGGTGTTGAGCCTTCCCTCATCAATACTACAGCTAAGCAGGGAAGACGAGGCTAGCTTTTTCAGTTCTCAGACTCCGAGTACCGAAAAGGACCTCAGTGACCGTCTGGCTGGACCAGTGTCCTGAGATAATCTCCATTACAACATAGCCAAGAGGTGACCACCCAGGCCAGACTCAGACCTCCAGGCAGGGAGCCACCCACCGCCTCCTCCAGGTGGCCCTGGCTACTTTCGGCAGCCCGGAGAGGGACACTGGGTTTGGGAAACGGAACGCCCTCCAGAAGCTCACAGCCACGCACGCGCTCGACGCGGAACAGGCACGAAACGGAGGGCGGGCAACGTCGGGGCACGGACGAGGGATGGCAGCGGTTGTTTTTTTAAAGACGAAGTAAAATGAATCAAGTCCCGGACGGGAGCAAACCCATTCACTGTCTGACGTGCCCTGAACCCTCCACGAGACCCGACACTGGAATTTTGTGAGGTCCACCGGCGGCCTCGGGCTCGCTTTTAACAAAGTTCTCCCTTCCCCATTAAAGTAAACTAAATAAATGAGACCGGCTTGATGGAGACGACGGGAGTGGGGGTGGGGCAGCAACAGCAAACGCGCCCACATCGAGCCCAACGACACAGCACAGCGTTCACTAAGGGCTTCCACCGCGCCAGGCACTCCACTGGGCAGAAAGACAAGCTATTAGAGATGATGGAAAGTTGGGGGAAATGTAAAAACCTCTGTATCTTCAGAAAACAGGTCAGCTGTGACCTAAAAACAAGGACAGACAGCAGCTGGGATGCACAAGCCAGCAGACACAGCATTAAAACAGGCAGTACGAATGTGAAAATGATTTCAACAAATTGGCTGTGTTCAGGCCCGTGGGTCGAGGGGACTCACATTCTGGGGCACGGAAGAAGCAGCTTCCTGTCGGGCTGGGGTCATAGCAATTATTGCGGAGAATTCACGAAGGACTCCGCGTGGCCTGAGTGCCCCTCACCGCGCCCACACGTGCAGACACACATGCTCACACACATACACCTGTGTGAACACACATGTGAGCACACTCACACACACTTTAAAAGGGCACTTACCAGGTGACCAATTACTCTCGTTAAGGCAGATAAACAGACCCTAGAAGAAATCACATAACCCAGATTAACTTCCACATTTACAAAGTGTGTGGTACGTGGCACAAAATGGCAGTATCCAAACACACAGCGTATGGAGCTTTGTAAACAAAACCAGCCGTCAGACTAAGCCACCTCCGCCTCCTCCTCCTCCGTGCGCTCCCAGATCCCTGCCAGGCTCTCCTCCCTCTTCTCTTCCTCCAAACCACCCTTCACGCATCCCCCTTTGCCCCCCAGTTAATCTGGCTCATGCAAAGACAGAACCACACTCCTCCTCTGCTCCAGAGCCTTCAGTGGCTGCCCAGCGTCTTTTCAAGGCTGAGCTCCTCGGCCGGTGTCCACAGCTGTCCTCAAGCTGATGTCCCACCATCTCTCCAGCCACGCCGGCCTCTCCTCTACAGTCCACAAGTCCCCACACCACCAGCGCCTTCCTCACCAAACACTGTCCTAGTATTTGGACTGTGTACATTAACGTGTGGCCGCGCTGTCTTCTCTGAGAGAATGGGAGCTCCAAGAGGGCAAGGGACGCTTCATCTCTCTTTGCATTC